AAAAAAATGTTACTGAGAAAATAAAACAAGACATAAAAACTGTTCAAGAGCAGTTGAAAAGTTTTAAATCAGGAACTAATGCTTACCTTAGCCAACTTTACCAGAGTGATAAACCGAAATTTGATAAATTAGAGAGGGATTTATCCAGTTTTTCAACGTCAAGTCAAACTGGTTCACAAAAAACTCCGTGGGGAGTAATTATTCCTGTTTCTTTGGTGGCAGTATTAATAGTAGCAGCCGCGGCAGTAGTGATAGTGAGAAGAAGAAGGAAACTTGAAAAGATAAAAAAATAATTTAGTAAAAAATGTTAGGAAGGGAGTCAACAAACGCTCCCCCTAATATCTATTCTGGTAATATTTGTTTATTAGATTAGGTATTGGGAGTTAAATGTTAAAAGAAAAGTCAAAGCGGGGAGGATATGCTAATGCTATCCTTTGCGAAAATACTAATTCTGAAAAAAAAAAAGAATTAACTTATTTTGCGAAAGATAATTTTTGAACTGCAAATTTTCCCACCACTGCTTCTTCAAAGTTTTTAAGTAATTTTTGGTCTATTCAGAATGCTTTTGTAATTGAAATATTAGAAAAAAAGAAAAAAATATTACTAGGAAAAACTGTGCTTGACGAGTTTGCTTGTGGTGGCACGGGACTTCACGCCGCCACTGGGCCAATTTTTAATCCTTATAATGATTCTCGTATAGTGGGCGGCTCTTCTTCAGGTTCCGCCTGAGTAGTCGCTGAAAATTTAACTCCTTTTGCTTTAGGCCATGATACCGGAGATTCTATTCGTCGCCCTGCTTCTTACTGCGGAATAGTGGGATTTAAGCCTTCTTACGGAATAATTTCGCGGGCTGGGATCATTCCCATGGCTTCCTCTTTGGATACAGTTGGGATTCTGGCCCAGAAAACACAAGACATTAAATCGGTATTTGCCATTACTTCCCAAAAGGACCCCCATGACCTTCTAACAGTAGCAACCAGAAGCAAATCATTATCTCCCAAAAAAAATAAAATAGCGGTTGTAGCGGGAATAGAAAAATATTTGCCAAATGAACTAAGCAATTTGTATCATAAAACTATTGAAAAATTGGAAAAAAGAGGATGTACCATTGAAAAAATAACCATACCCAAAAAAATACGAGAACATCTGCAAATTACTTATCTTATTCTTTGTTCTAGTGAATTAGTTAGTCATCTCAATTCGCTCCAAGGAGTAACTTATGGAATTAAAGAGAATGTTAGTGTTAACCACAAGCGAAGTAAATACTTAGGAGAAATAGTAAAACAACGGCTATTAATTGGTGCTTACTTTTTAGAAAAGCAAGAATTATTTATCAAAGCCCAAAAAATGCGTTATCTAGTGGATAAGTGGGTGAAAAATGTTTTTCAAAATTATGACTTTCTAATTTTCCCTAGCGTTAATAATACGGCCCCTCCTGCTGCTAATTTTAACCATTCATTTTCGGGGCTAATATCTTCCCATTGAAGCGATAATTTATTGCTCTTGGCAAATTTTGCGGGCTTGCCTTCCTTAAGTTTGCCAATCGGTTTTGTAAATGGCTTACCAGTAAGCATTAATATAAATAGTAAATATGGAAAGGATAAAGAAGTTTTAGAATTTGCTGAAAATTTAGAAAAAGAAATAGAGAGTAGTGAGGGGAAATATTATTTAGTTATGAAGTCTGGGAAGAGGGAATATGTTTAAATAATTCAATTAGGAACTCAATTATTAGACTAATCCCAGCCGCAAAAGGAGGTTTTTTTGCGGCTAAAAGGAGATTAGTTTTTTTTTTTTTTTTTTTCACAATTTCTTAAAAAATAATCAGCCCAACAAAAAACCGATAATTATCCCTACTGTCGTAGAAGGTAAAATTACCCGTAAAAAAATTCTCCTATTCTCATTATGTTTAGTTTGCTTTTCGAAACATTCCTTACAAAGAGACTTACGGGGATGAACATCTTCGCACAACGGGCAATAATAATTGATATTACTATGATAACCCTCCTCCTTATTGTAATCCTTATCGGCAAAGCAAACACAACCTCTTTTTCTTTCTCGCTCTAAAAAACATTCACCACAAAGTTTATCAGTCCAGGAACTAGTTTTTCTCTTACACTTGACACATGGATTACTAGAATTCTTGCTTTCAATTGATTCAATTCATCCTATTTTCCTTACCTTACCGCAATCGGGGCAAGTTTTACCCCGACATTTATAATAGACAGCACAATAAGAAACACCGTCAAAATCTTTTCTGCAGTTATAACAAGGCATGATTTAATGTTGCATTAACTTTCCACCGCCACCATATACTGTCACTAGTCGTGAACTATCATAATCACTATAATCATTTTCTAGAGAACTAATTGCCTTTCTTAACATTTCTTTTACTTCTTCTTCCCTAGTCCTGCACGGTT